GATCGATGTTGACTTTCGTCATAACGCGTTGACCGGCGTTGACTCATGACCGGTGTAAACACAGTTTATATTCATATGTTAACTGGAGTCTACACAGTTTAAGCTCTTAAGATGTTTAAGCGTGGAGGGCCAGTTTATACTCATATACTCCTGAAAGTTTCGGGAATCAGTTTAACCTCGTGTACCCGTTGGAAGTTCAAGGAGATGCAGTTTATACTCATATACTCATCGTAGTGACGCGGGCGTGTTGAGAATGTATCGAACGTATGCCAGAGAAGCTCTTTGTGCGATACTGTTTCTTTTGCCTCGCGTGAGCGAGACAGGTACAACTGCCTACGATATTACTATCGGACTGAATTGGCTTAAGTCCGAAACTTGCGTCCTCTTGGGTCATCTTTGTCTACCTTATTAAGTTTGAAACTTTTTTCAAAACCCTAGGAATAGAGTTTTCAAGCCTTCTTCTCCGCAGTTATAGAAATTCGGCTGGAGTTGAGGTTAGCTCGCCTGTTCAAATCCCGAGACCAACTGATGAAGCTGATGTGTCAGTGACTTTTGTACCTTATTATGATTACCCATTCTGTTTAGAACAAATAAGCATAATACTCATAGTATTTTTGGTAAACCCTCAGCCATCAACGGATTTAATGAGCCTTTACCGATTACCGTTTGAATCGGGCTAGCATGTTAATTATTAAACCCGTTTCATATGTAACGTTGTGCTAAGAGAATAAACTCTCTTAGACTTGGTGCTATAATTTTGAATATATAAACTTTGTTATTTTTATGAGAAATGACTAACCGGCAACGCGTGTTAGACGTAGACTTATTACTATTCAGGGTTTAAGATAATATCCCCCAGACGTGAATCATGGTATCCTTTTCACGAAGAAAGGTTAACCGGCAACAATTATTAGACGTTGACTTATTTTTACTTAGGATTTGAGATAAAATCCTACATGCATGTAAGACACGGATTTTGGTGTTATTTAATAACAGCCTACCACGATGTTGAATACGTGGGCTTTTGTCCTTTTTACAGCAAAAGACTAACCGGCAACGCGTGTTACACATAGAATTATCTCTGTTTAGGAGTCGAGATAAAGTTTCCCATGCGTGTAAGGTATGGATTGTGTCTTCTCTTGGAGCAAAGATGAACCCGGTGCTGGAGAGGAGGAATTTTATATTCTATCTCCAGGTCTTCTCTTGGGGCAAAGACAAACCTGATGCTAGAGGGGAAGAATTTTATATTCTATCTCCAGGTCTTTTCTTGGGGCAAAGACGAACCTGATGCTAGAGAGGAAGAATTTTATATTCTATCTCCTGCTGTAAAAGAGACTCAAAGTAGGATCTCCACTTCGAGAATCCTGAAGGTGAAACTAAGAGTAGGATCTTCACTCCGAGAATCAAAAAAATTCGAATAACCCTAACTTTTATAGGATTGGTTTTCTGATCTGAAAATAAATTTCTTGTTTATCGAGACAAAACTCCAACTTTAGCCCTAATTGTTTAAAGATTTGGCCGAGTGGGGGTTTGAGATGATACTAACTTTAATAGGTTTGACCGCTGAATTTAAAAGTGGACATCTCGTTCATGGAAGGAATCGAGAGAGTATTTTGGCTTTTGTCCTAACTGTAAGAAAATTTGACCAAACAAGAAGTGGGAGTATGGTACAAATAACAGTGATGATGTTGACTTGTACAAATCACTCGGTAGGGGTTTTCAGCGTCAAGTGACAAGGACTTAATATGAAAGGGGTTTGCTAATTGTCATGAATCAGTAGCTTGAACTTTTAAATACCGTGTTGGAACTTTAACATGGGGAGTGTTAAGTGCACAAACACAATGGGAGTTTGGATGAACTCAACCGAAAGAACTTTGGTGGACCCACTATTAGTTAATTTGACTAGTGAGGAGCTTTGCGGTGAAGGACCGTGAATCAAACACTCCGCTGGTGCATCATGGGAGTTTCGTGAGGGAAGATTGACCAAATGAAGTTATTGAATCTCATCTCAACGATAGAGTGCTCAGAAAGTCACAGTGGGGGGTTTTAATCATCTTGAAAATGATTAAATAGCAACAAGGAAATGTTCTTAATTATTTTTATCATGATTAAGAATGAATTATTCTGATGATTAGTTTTTACCTTGAATAATCAATTGGTTTTAGGTTATCCTTAAGAATACTATGTGTAGTATTCTCTAGGAACTTCTCATTGGAATGCATTGAGGTATTCCACCCACAGCTCTTTGGTGAACCTAAATCCAATTGTATTCGTTTGTGGGTCATCCAAAAAAAATGTCAAGTTTAGACAGTCAAAAAGCAATGCAACAAGCTATAATGTAGTTTATTTTTACCGCAAAGATGACGAAGAAGAAGATAGTGGTGGGCACCATGACGACAATGTAAAATGTCATTGGAAGTTTAATTCACGCTTGGGTGTAAGAGTAGGTGGACAATTTAAAATCACACACTATAACGGACTGTACACATGTAGCAATCCTCGATTAGAGATAAATCATAAGCACGCATCCGTCTCTTTCATATATCGATTGATTATGCCTAAACTAATGGAGGATCTTGATCTAAGGCCAAAGGATATTCGTCTTTTAGTTCATAAAACGACCAACTTGAATGTATCATACAACAAGTGTTGGAATGTTTAGAGGAAGACGATGATAAAAATATTCGAAAAGTGAGACAAATTTTATGAGATCTTACCACATTATCTTAAAGAACTTAAAAGAGAAAATACGGGGACAGTGTATAAAGTATCATCAGACTCTGTTGATGGCGGAGGTAGATGGTTCACGGGTGTATTTTGGGCATTTGGACCTTGCATTGAAGATTTTAGATATTGTCATCATCTTCTTAGCATTGACGGCACCCACTTGTACAGTAAATTTAAAGGCGTTTTGCTTGTTGCAACCGGAATAGTCGCAGATGGCGGTTTATTTTCTTTGGCATTTGCAGTGGTTGATGTTGAAAACACGGAGAATTAGGCATGGTTTTTTTCATGCATTAGATATCATATCCCTAGTGTGGGAACGCGAACGATTACATTCATATTTGATAGTATGAAAGAAATTCCAATAGCACTCCAACAATATTTTTTGTCACCACATCAACATCGCTATTGCTTACGACATATTAGGCACAACTTCAAGAAGAAGCATGGACAAGTGCAGCTTCAAGATCTTCTTTGGCAAGCTGGCTGTGCAATAAATGAATTAGTTTATGAGAAACTACGGGAGAGGATTAAGTTCATTTCATGAGCAACACATGATTGGATCAAAACTAATTTGGGTCCGCATAATGTTGAGAAGTGGGCTTTATGTGAAGATGTCGAGAAACAATTTTGTATGATGACCACTAACGCTTCTAAGACTTTTAATCGTGTGCTTAGGGGAGCACGCGGCATGCAAATACAGCCACTAATTACAAAAATATTTTACAGACTTAATAAATTCTTTCTCAGACGACACACACTTGGTGCAAATATCCCGTCAGAGCTGGCGCCGAAGGTTAAATTTTATGAACATTATTGTAATTCAGTATATATGTGATTTTTGTGGGTATTGTTTGATTCATGTATATTGTTGTGAATGAGGCGAAAATTTCATGTATATTGTTAGAATTTTTTTTATGTATATTGTTGGAAAATTGTGTGTATATTGTTGGGAAATATGTTTGTATATTGTTGGGAAATTATTTTCGTGTGAATATTGTATATAAAAAAAATGCACAAAACCTGTGCATGTTTTTTAAAACCTGCAACTCCACGGAATTTCAAGTTTCGAGGAGTTGCAGGCGGAATTTCCAGAGAGCGTTGCTCTCTGAAAATTCTAACTGGAACATCACGGGACTTGAAATCCCGTGATGTTTTGTACATAACAAAACTCCACGAGACTTGAAGTCCCGTGAGGTTTTGTACATTACAAAACATCATGGTACTTCAAGTCCTGTGATGTTTTCCTCTTATTAATCACATTACTTTCATAAATAACAACGCGCTTAAACTTCACGGGACTTCACGGGGCTTGAAGTCCCGTGAAGTTTCGTAAATTATTTCGCCAAAGTCGACCTAGTTTCAGCCAACTGGCTGAAACTGAGCCGATTTTGGTAATTAAATTTAAAATGGATTGATTTTTGCAATTAATCGGCTGAAACTGGGTCGATCTTAACGATTAAATTTGGAATGGATAGATTTTGCAATTAAGTTTCTAAATGGGTTGGTTTTGAAAATTTGTCTCAATTTCAATATATCCTGCCGCTTCTTTATGATGATTGTATGAGGGAAGCCTGACACAAGAGTACAAATTTCTAAATGACTGAAAAAAATTGGTAGAATAAAAATTATAATGAAGCTGGCGTGTAGATCGAGGACCACACAAGAGTTCCAAGTTGAAGGCCTGAACCTGTTTCTTTCTTCTTGCTTCGATTGATATGCACCATTCGTATCTTCAACATGGGTCTTTCCTTTGTCAGCGGTCTCTTAAAAATGGCTGTATTTTATATTTCTTAAAGCCAACCATATAAATTTACAGCTGACAATAGAGCTTTGTTTGGCAAACATTTAAGTGCACATGTGAATGTTGGCTATGTATTGGAATTGGTTGACCATGTTTTCTTCGTATTAGATAGGTTTAAAGATGTAAGAAGATTGCTTGCTTTCTTGATGTAAATTTTAACTATTTACCAGTTGGTTGCTATGCATTTATGATCACAATATTGATATCACCAAACTAAGTTGTAATAGTTCACAATAATATTAAGACCTGGCATTCTGCAAACCGTATCCATTGCACTAAAGATTGCCTCAAAAGGACACACTAATGCAAAAACTATCCATTCATTGACATTTGACACTGATATTGATGAATTAACATAAAAGAAATAGCACCCCAAATCTTTAGGCATAAGAAATGGTAACACCATCATAAATCCACAATTCATGGCACAAATTAAGCAACAAGCCTCCCATGCTAAGCCAACAGCAATCCATAAAAAACAGTATTAAATCTTACTCACATGACAAATTCCAAGTAAATCGCTAACTCAAATATCATGTCTAAAAATCATCACATAATCAAACCATGCCCATACAATAAGTACAAAACCATATCATAAAGAAAACTAACCCAAATAAAAATAAACCTCAATCATCATCAACCTATACCATACTCTATAACATCACCTACATAACCATAGACCAAACGATAACAGACAGTACCAACCCCAACCCCTTACAAACCACAGCAGCATTGTTCGAATTCGGCGCCGAAGCCGGACCAGCCGAAGCAGAGGAACCAGCTGAAGATGGAGCCTCCGACGGGCTCGTGGTGCCTGCGCTGGCGCTGCTGGTTGGAGCAGCAGCTGGGGCTGAGGATGTGGCAGGGGATTGGGAAGGTGAAGGGGAAGGGGCAGCAGAGGAGGGGGATTTGCTCGGGAGGGCGGTGACCTTGATTTTAGGCAGTGGCCGGGCGACAGCCGCCAGAGGTAGAAGTGGTCGCGGGGGTTTGAGGACGATGGAGTCGTATGCCGCGTGGTGTAGGTGGTGACCGGCTTGACTTGGCATCCGTCGAAGTCTGACTTGGAACCGACTACGGCGACGTTGTGGTATGAGTTGTTGTAAGAGAACACTGCAGATAGAGGAAGAGTGATTCTGTTGGCGTTAATGACAACTGATAAATGTGCATTGGAGAATTAATCTAGAAATTCATCCACATAAAGAATCACTAGTCATCTAATCCTTTATTTGGTGTTAGTGGGCATCAGGTTAGAAGTTAATACCTACAAAGAGAATAATATCTTTAGAGAAAGGGATTTTCGTGAAAGTGATTGCAAAGGAATGCACTTAAGTTCATTAATCAAAAAGTATATAATGAAAGTGATTTGTGCCCGTCCCTCATGGATCATTAAGAAATAAACCACTACATCTTTACTATAAGAATAGACTTCATCAGGTACAACATCATGGCCAAAGAATCATTAGTCCTCCAATCCAAGCATTTGGTGTAAATGGGGAAGTTAATATGAACAGAGAATAATCTCTTTGGAGAAAAAGTTGTGTGTGGAAGTGACTGCAAAGATTGCACTTGACTTTCATCAATAAAGCTTCAAGTAGTTGTCATACTATATACTATGAATCAACATGACAAATATTTACGAATCGACATCTATACAAATAGACTCCACCAAAATACATTATTCTGGATGTCCTGCATCACATTGGCTAGGTTCCGACGCGTACAAATATCGTGCTTTGAAAATAACCAAACTTTTAGAAAGTTGAAATGACTTCATCACATACAGCTTTTTCTACTTAAAAAGAGGATAAAGAAGAAATTTAAAAGAAATTTACAATTTGTTCAAAGTTACTACATACAATTGTCACAAGTAATATAGCTAAAGTTAATTGGTGATCTTATCAACATGTATCCACACAGATGCGCAACCCAAGTGAAGGCTGGGTTATGACTTTGTGAGCTTGGACTCATATGCAACAAATTAAGCGGCAACTGTCACCTAGCGTCCTCAAGAGTAAAGAAACCTAGAGCTACTTTAGGGTCAATTCTGTTAAATTTTTGATGAAGTGTGGAAAGCTACAATGTAAGAGTGTAAAGAATCTCATAGACTTCATAACATATAAATTAAGTTGAAAGATCCAAAGAAAGAAGGCATGTGGTCAGTCTCCACTAGACAAGAAATAAGATAAAAAATACGTTGAATTAGTTTTAAATACTACCAACTTGAACTTTTGTGGGGACAACAGGATAATGCATTCATGCCTAGGCCACCAATTTCAGACCAAGAGCTTTCAGCTCTCCACAACTTCAGGCTATACAACTTTTTGTCCTTAAAAATACAAAAAAGTATGGGGGAAAAAAATAAAAAACATGACTTTAGAAAATAACCCATTTAGATCCCACTTTTGCAAGGTATTTAGGTACTTATTGCTAGTAAAGTAACATACTTTCAATGTCATGAATTTTACATCCTTAAAAATATCAAAATAAACATACAATAAGTTATTAACATTTTCGGTTTAAACATCAAATTTAGAACAGTCAAAAATAAAAAAATTAGATGAATAATTCGTACACTCTCATCCGCCATCTCCACGTGCTACGGTCAACACTAGAGAATCGTACACGTGCAATAGTCATTCTTCCCCTATAAGAAAATTACCCTTTATGGAAAAAAATTCTCTTTCATAATTTTTTTTTTTCAAAAAGAACTGCTACTTTCAAGAAAGCAAAAAAGAAAAGAAAATACAGGTAAAGAAATTCTATTCACAAATCTCACAGAAAAAACAATGAAAAAATTGAAGGCCTAAAACCAAAATAAGACAAGAAAAGAAAAGGAAATAATTGGAAAACTTACAGAGAGTATCACCAACATGGAAAGTTTTTTTAGAGACCCAAGTTCCATAATCAATCTTGCCAACAGTCCAGCCCACAGCGTCACCAACCTTGTAAACAGTAGCAGAGCCCAAGCCCATGAATGAAAAAGCCAAAACCATGAACAAGCAAGCAAAGGCTAAAGAAGAAGAAGAAGCCATCCCTCTCAAAAAACCAAAAATCAAAGAGAAATTCACAGCTCTTGCAAATTCTCTTCAATATTTTCCTCTCCCCTCTTCCCCTCTCTTTATAAAGCCACTGCTCGCCTTTATGGGCAACTAATATTCTCACCCCCAATTGTAACCGGCTACAGCCGGTTGATATACTAAGGGTAACATATGATGGGTGGAGATTATTAATTTGAACGTGGTAATATATAATTTCCTTTCGGGCCTTGTTATTTTTGGAAATAGAAGGGTGCAGATTTTTTCTCGTTTTTATTTCAAATCGATATCAATTCAATTCCGCAAAATATGGTAGGTGGAGGTTTGTGTATCCCTAGTATGTATCCGCAAAATAAGGTATATGCATCCGGAATTAATTATGAAAGGCTTGACGCATGAGATTATTAAAGAGCTTTGCTACATAGACCCAAAATATTGGACCAATAAATGGGACAAGTGAGGTGTCCCCTTACTATTAGATAATGAGTTGGTCATCATTAATGATGACCAACTCATTATCCAATAAGAGGGGGACACCTCACTTGTCCCCCCTATTGGTCCCATATTTTGGGTCTTTAAAGAATTTTTCATTATTAAATTATTATAGTAATAAATTGATAGTCTTTAGTGGTACGGTCACAAGAGAAAGATCGAGTTTTTCTACAAGAACCCAAAATATGAGACCAACAGGAAGGACACCTTTTTATTGCATAATGAGCTGATCATCATTAATGATGACCAACTTATTATGCAATAGAAGGGGTACACCTCACATGTCCCCCTGTTTTGAATCCTTGGGGAATTTTTCAAAAATAGGAGGTCCCATATTTTGAATCATTGGGGAATTTTTCGATAAAGTTCTGAGTACGATCACAACCTAATTTCTAAATGTTTTTTTTTTTGAAATAGTTACTTAAGCCATATCTTTTTCTTGAATATTTAAAAAAATACATGGGCTTGGAAACAAGAAAAGTCTTCTGTTTTAATAGAATTTCATAGATGCTATTTATTTAAAAAGTTTAATTACTAATTTGTTTCAAAATACTATGAATCAGTAGCTAGTTTCATGCAACAATAGTTTTTATAATTTGGAAAACTCATTTTCTTTCTAAATCTAAAATTTTACTACAAGGCCTACTCTGGGTTGGGTTATAAATAAAAAGGTTACTATTAGAACTTTGGTCATAAATAAATATATAAATACAATAATATATAAAATAATTGTTTCAAATCTCTATTTAGCTTCGATCCCCCCCCCCACCCCTCCTATCATTCGATATCTGTTGGCCAATTATTCAAACGAAAATTGAATAATTCTTTGACCATTACTTCGCAAACGAAAACATATTATCAACAGATTTGAAGACAAATTTCTGCATAGTATTCTTCAATATTTTCAAAATTGATAGCGCATTGACGTTACAGTGATTATGTTAGCAAGCCCGGGGACAATGCTTTACACCTCACGAACCAAGCTATATAGGGTTAGTCCCTTACCGACAGATGTAGGCTAAATATAAACCCAGCTATATCGCAGTAAATGTTGACGTTGGGGCCAAAATTTTGTACAGATTTGGAGGAATTGAGGCTTTGGATAAAGCCATGAAACTACTTGCTATCTGTAGGTTTAGCGTGGGTTTGGTTATGGGTGGGCATGGACCGGGTTGACCAGTGGGCTGATCTTACCCAGCCCGTTATGGGTATGATTTGACCCGGCCCGTGATATATTAGGGTAACAGATCGGACTGGGTCCAACCCTAGAGCTAGGCCGGAGAAATAGGTACCCGACCCACCATTGGGCTGACCCACCATTAACCC